GAGCCTAGAGCTGCTTCCTGCTGATTGGCTGAGGACCAGCCATCTAGGCTGTGAGACCCAGCTCAGGCTTTTCCACCTTTCACCTGGCACCTCCTTTAGGAGTGCAACCAGCCTTAGCAGGTATAGCAAAATACGGGCTGTAATAGATGAATCCTTGCACAAGACCTGAGACAGGAGATCATGGGCAATGTTGCTGAACCATAACTCCCTGGGGATTTTACAGCATCTTGTTCTCCTCGGAGAAAGGAAAATCAATCAATCTATCTATAATTTCTGCACAATGTCACACATGGAGAGCAAAACCAGTGAGTTACTTCAACAAGGAAGGAAGGGATCTGTTTGCTCAATAATGCCCAAAATAAGTTTATCCTCTAGGAGTCTAAACAACTGCATGGCAACAGTCTTGAGAAGACTGTATAGGAGGGCACAGTGGGAAAGATATTAATCAGAATTCATGGGGTTTTGCTTTTAAAGCAACCTCAAGTTCAGCTCCCTTCTAAAAGAAGCAGAAGGGTCCAACCAAGTGTTTTATGTGTGTTCCTATGCATTTTCGGGGTGGGGGGAACAGGGACCAAAAGTTGTTTCATTCTTAAAACCCACAGTTTTCAGAAAGCCTGTGTAGGAGTTAGAGATTCTGTTACCACACGTAGAAAACAGACATAAACTATACCTAAGCTTTATTTTGGTGATTTTCCTGGATTAAGTCCAAGTGAGAGTAAACAAGTCAAAGAGAGAAACTGACCCTTTGGGATCAGGTTTCTCAAGATCAATCAGCCCTAGGCCACAAGAAGCAGTTTGCGACACAATGGATAGAAAGCAGGGCCTGGAGTCAGAAAGATCTAAGTTCAAATCTGATCTCATCATTTATTAGCTGTGTGAGCCTCAGCAAGTCACTTAATTGCAATTTGCCTCTAGTTTTCTCAAGTTATTATGAGAATCAAATGAGACGATATATCTGTAAAGTATTGAACACTATGCCTGGCACATAGTGGGCACTCAATAAATGCTTCTTCTCTCTTCCCTTAGGTAGAAATGGAGAAAGGGGTGGGAGAGAGTTAGGTCTTAGATCGCACAGAACATTTTAAATTAGTTCCTTAAAACATGATCTATTAGGCAAAATAATATTATAGGGAGAGGGGAGACTCATTCCCATGGTAAAGACATTAAAAAATGAATGTTGGCCAAAATGACAATATAGAGGTTTTGAATGTTATGGCAGAATTGGTTAATGTTATATTAACAATATTGGGAAACATGGCAAAACAAAGCAATGTTATGAAACAAATGCCTGTGAGGCTTGAAATTAAAGAAACTGGAGAATTATACAAATGGAAGAATGTAATGCAGTTTCAAAAACTAAACATACAATATAGCATAGTAGAAAAAGCAATAGATTTGGCATCAGAAGACTCATGTTAAAATCCCAGCTCAATTACCAATAACTTGTGTCATGATTCGACAACCACAAGTTCTCTGGGCCTCAGATTCTTCATCTTTAAAATAAGGAGCTTAAGATTAGGTGATAGAAGATACCTTTCAGCACTTAATCATGACCTTGAGTCAGGTCAACAAGTATTTTTTAAGCACTAACTATGGTAAGCACTGGAAATACAAAGAAAGGCAAAAACAACCTGTCTTCAAAGAACTCATATTCCAATGGGAGAGACAACATTTAAATAACTATGTACAAACAATCTTCTAGAATTAAAAGAAACCAGGAAAGGTTCTAATATAAAAGGTAGGGTTTTAGCTGAGATTTGAAGGAAGCCAGGAGGCAGAAAAGAGGTGGGAGAAATTTCAGGCGTTGCAGACAGCTAATAAAATGCAGTCAAGAGATGGAGTGTCTTGTACAAAGAACAGCAAGGAGGCCAGTGCCACATATAAATCATAGATCTTGAACTACAAGACTTTCGATGCCTTGAAGTCCACAATGTCTCATTTTAAGATGATAAAACTGAGGCCCAAAGCAATTAAATGATTTGCCAAAAGTCACATTTGGAATAAGTGGCGGAGCTAGAATTTCAACCGAGGTCTTTTAATTGCAAATCCAGTGCTTCGTACAATGCACCATGACACTTCTATGATGAACACATCTTTTGTGTAAAGTGAGGTATATCTATAGCAACATACAAGTTCTGGTCATGATTTTTTGTTGTTCAGTCAAGTCTGACTCTTCATGACCCCATTTAGGGTCTGCTTGGCAAAGATACTGGAGCAATTTGTCATTTCCATCTCCAGCTCATTTTATAGATGAGGAAACTGAGGTAAAAGAGGTTAAGTGACTTGCCAAGTATCACACAGCTAGTAAATGTCTGAGGCCAAATTTGAATTCAAGGAGTCTTCCTGACTTCAGGTCCTACACTCTATCCACTGTGCCACCTAGCTGCCATGATTATACTTCCTTTAAAAATATCCCCATGATTCTGTTACAATGGAACTCTATCTTCTGGTTCATAAAATGTCTTTAATAGTATATGTAATCAAATATTAATAAAGACTAAGTGACATTCCAAAATGCCAGAAAAATGTAAAGAATACATTCATTTAAGGTTTTAATATCCCTTGAAATCCTGTTGGGTCTACTAAAATTTTTAGCTTCATCATATTTGCAAAAGCCACTAAACATTGTGTGTAGAAACATTTTCTTCCCTATTGAAGCTTACTGCTAAACTGGACACCTAGAATGCTGAATGCTAACAATTGCTAAATATATAAGGTAAAAAAACTTCATCCTTATATTTGTCCATCTGATGTCTAATGTAACAACAGATTCCAATCTCCCAAAATAGGTACCCAATTAACTGGATAGTGATTTATACATTTTTTTTAAACCAGGCAAAACTTTTTTTTACTATTTTGTCTAATATGACAATATGTAGTTTTCAAAGCACTTCACATAATTGTCATTTAAATCTCAATACTGTTAGGTGGCATGATAAATGTTATCTACATTTAACAAATGAAGAAACTGAATTAGAAAAGTGACTTACTTGCCTATAGACATACAGCTAGTAAAGGTCAGAGGCAGGACTCAAATCCTGGTAATCCTCACTTCAAATTCGGAATTCTATCCCTATCTTAACTGAATCAGTCTGATATTTATCTCTTTCCTAAGATGAATACTAAATCTTAGTATCTAAAATTCTTCAAGGATTTTGTTGCACCATGTTTATCTCATTTATTCATACTTATCAATAAAAGTGATTGTTACACTGTTCAATCCATAAATATCCCCTACCCCCCAAAATAAATCAGTCAAGAAAAGTTAACTGTTCACTTTAATTTGCTGGAACACATCCAATAGGCATTTAGTTCAGTCATTCCTTTCATTCAGTTTTCTTCCTAAGATCCAAAGGAAGTATAAAAAATTGAGAACCACTTAAATAGAAGAAACAGATTAAAAACATCTGTTCTTTCCACTAGAGGAGTGTACTAAAGTGGGGGGAGGGAAAAAGGAAGCCAGAAAGGGAAAAGGAAAGAGGGCAAAGTGGAAAGCTGACCCTTACTTTATGCCATTTTCTGCAAATCATTTCATAATCCCAAGAAAAAAACCAAATGCATTTCAGCAATATTTAAAATAAAAATACAACACATGTTTTTGGAGAGCTAAGTTAAACTAAAGACACTTTTTTTTCAAAAATGTATACCTCATTAACAATTTCGTTGTTCTTTTGTTTTATTCTAAGGATTGCTTTTCATCAAAACTGGTGTTTAAAGAGGAATTTTACTAAATCCCTCTGCTTTCAGTCCATTTTCAACTATCACTAAAACTGTTAATACATTACCTTTTCTTCAACACAAAAAGACAATAAAAGCTCCTAATTCATTCAATCAATACCAGTCTCACCCCTCAAAGTTTCTCAAAATTCCCAGCCTTTTCCTGTAAATGAGGCAAGAGATGGACAGGGGCTTAATCTATTCCCCCCCCCTCCGTCTTTTACCAGAAAAGTTGGGTCACCAAATTCTGCCTATTTTTGGATACACCTGTGCCGCAGCAATAGGATCAGAAAGTTGGTTAGCAGCTCAACCTAATCCATAACTAGGTTCCATATCTGAAAAATGAGGGTGATCAGATGGCCTCTATGGCGCCTTCCAGTACAGTCACGTCAGTAAGTATTAAGCTCCAACTAAAGCGCCCGGGATACAAAGAAAGGCAAAGAACAGCCCCTGCCCTTAAGAAGTTCACAATCTAATGGGGGGTGGTGAGAGAGAGTGAGAGAGAGAGAGAGAGAGAGAGAGAGAGAGAGAGAGAGAGAGAGAGAGAGAGAGAGAGAGAGAGGGAGGGAGAGGGAGAGAAGGAGAGAGAGAGAGAGAGAGACAGACAGACAGACAGACAGACAGACAGACAAGCAAACAACTACTTACAAACTAGACCTCCTATAATCCTGGCTAGGAACTCTGGACACACTGCATCGCACCTGCGGCCCCCACTCCGAGGCCCAGGTGAAGCGACCCGCCCGCAGCCCTCCATTATTTGGGTCTCCCCCCCCCACCGCACCCAAGAGGCAAAGCTCGCAGAATCACCACTGGCCCAAAAGAGTTCCTCCCTTCCCCCTCTCACTAGGTCTCCAGTTTGCCATCACTGACTGTCTAGCGGAGTCCCAGGAATAAAGGGGGGAAGGTAATAGGGGGGAGGACAAGTAGGAGGAGGAAGAGGAGAAAGAGACCAAAGGCTACTCCTGCGCCCTTGGCCATCAGAGGCCGCAGCCCGCACCTGGAGGGGTGGGGGTGGGAACTACCTCCTCCCCCTCTCCCTCCCGCTCCTCCTCCAGCACGGGCAGACAGGGGCGGGGCCGGGGGACCAGAGGCGAGCCCCATCCAGGCCGCCTCCCGCAGCTCTCCCCGCCCCCTCCCGGGGGAAGCACTGACCTCTGCGGGATCCTGGGCTGCTGCTGCTGCTGCTGCTACCGCTGCCACCGCCCGCGCTGCTGCTGCTGCCCGGGCTGCTGCTGCTGTGGCCGCCGCCGCCGCCGCCGCCGCCGCCGCCTTTCGCGTTCTTCCGCGGGGCCATGGCGCGCGCTGCCCGAGGTTGCAGGGGGTAGAACTTCAGGAGCTACTGGGCGCAGACCAGGTAAGGAGCAGGGAGCAGGCAGGTGGCAGAGAATGGGAAGGGGCTGCGGCTGCTGCGGCTGCTGCGGGTGCTGCGGCTGCTTGGCTACCTGGCCCCGCCCGCGACCACAGACAGGGTTTCCTTCCCTCCCCGCGTCCTGACTGCGCGCGCGCCCACCCGCTCGCGTGGAGAAATTCGGGCTCAGTCCCAGGGAGTGCGCGCGCCGGCGTGCAGGAACCCAGCTGTCCCGCCCCCTCACATTCCCCGCCCCTGGTCCTGCCCACATAGAGGAGGTGAGTGACGGCACTTTCCAACCAATCAAAAGGGAAGTTCTCCACGAAGGGCATAACCGACTTTCTTCTCCCGAATTCTAGCTGTGCTGCTGCCACGCGCTTCTGCAGTTTTTCGCCAGCTTTTTGGAACGTGGCAAATGGGGCTCTCGCGAGCGTTTGAAGGGCCGGGTCTGTAGGAATGGGGGGGGTGAGGGTGGAAGGCGGAGCGCTTGGAAGGGAAGGGGAGAGCTGAAGGAGGGAAGAGGAGGAGACACGTGCCTGACCTCGGAGGTGATGTTTGTGCAGCCCCTCAATCTGCTCCGGACAGGGATTGGTGCTGGAAGCACTATTTCAGCCTCTTTCACTCACATGATTAAAAAAGCATAGTTCTGCTTCTTGCCAGCGGGGATGGATGAATTGATGGATATATGGAGGGGTCGATGAGGGGCGGGGGGAGGGGAGGAGGAGGGACTCTGCAGTGTTTGCTTTTTTTTTTTTTTCCCCTAATGAGAGAATGTGGTCTGGGTTATAGTCGGAGGCATTGCAATGTTTAAATAAGCCTGAGTTTGTGAGATTTCCCCTGGGGAACCATTGCATTTTAAGACTGGAACTGAAGGAAGCCCATAATTGTTTTGTTCTACCCAGAATTTCTAAATAGCCCTAAATTTCTGAGAGCTTTCTATGATGCATAGCTTTCCAGCACAGTGATGATAAGATACAATACTTGGCCTCAGCTTTTAAATGTAAATACATTCCAAGGTCCTTTCCCTACACCTGATAACTGTTGAAAACCTTGCCTTAGTTCTAGGATTTGAGATCTACTTTTCTTATTAGAACCACAGTTATGTGTTGATGTGTGTTCAGCCTTTCATATTTTCATTCCCAACTGTATAATTTTGAGTGTCTCACTTTGAAGAAACAAAATTACCCATTCAAAAGTTTGATTAGTTTGATGTGCAAAGCCTCATGTAGATGGTGAGGGAGATACAAAGTTTAGATATGATAGCCCTTACCTCTATGAAACTTTTTATAAAAATCCAGTAGGAAGATAAGATAATAAACTGACCACTATTTATTAAGCACCTACTGTGTTCCAGACACTGCTGGGCACTAGAGATACAAAGACCACTTTCTAGTCATTTACTCACCATGCTGCCTCTGCTTTAACCACCATCCTCATCCTTCCTCCAACCCCCAATCTTGAACTCTCCCTCTGGTTACCCTCTCCCCCATAAATGATCCTTTATTTTGTCTTGTGTACAACCAGGACTTCACACCACTTCCTATTAACACCAATCAGTTGAACTTCCTTCTGCCATCACCACCACTGCCTTCCTGTTTATGGGTTGACTTCCCCCATTAAAATGTAAGCTCTTTGGCTTCAGGGACTACCTTCCCTACTTTTAGCACAATGCCTGGTATATAGTAAATGCTTAATAAATGTTTTATCTATCTGTGTATAACTGTGCTAGATAGTAGGGCTACAAAAACAAAAATGAAACAGTCCCTGACCTCCAGAAGCTTCCATTCAATTAGGAGCAACAATATGCTGTATACACATCCCTGAAAATATGCAAAATAAATTCAAGGTAATTTTTGGAGGAAGGTACTAGCAGCCTGAGGTGATGGGAACCTCTTTAAGGAAATAGCTCTTGAGCTGAGCTGGGAAGAAAATAGGGATTCTAAGAGGCAGAAGTGAGAAGGGAGTACATTCTAAAAATCATCCTGCGTGTGCTATAAAATTGAAATATTTTGTGTGAGGAACAGCAAGAAGACTAGTTTGGCTGAATTGTAGAGTACATGGGGGAGGGGGATGAGAGGAAGGAAAAGAAAAGAATTAATTTATGTATAATAAACCTGGAAAGGTAGGTTAGAGCCAGATTGTAAAGCAATCAAAGGAGTTTGCACTTGATCCTAAAGATAGGATCACTGGAGTTTATTTATCAAGGAGGTAATACGGTCAGATTCCTTCTTTGGGAATATCACCTTGGCATTTACTGGCAACTGTGTGATGGATTGGAAAGGAGAGAGACTTGAGGCAAGAAAACCTGTTGTATATTGTTGGAATAGCCCAGGTGAGAGGAGATGAAGGCCTGCATTAGGGTGGTTGTCTCTATTTTCTACCCATCTCAGCTCAAGAGACAAGGGGGCATATGTATGCAGCAGGTGAGAATTGTTCAGAGGTAAAATTGACAAGATTTGGCAATTGATTTGCTATGTTGAATGACAGAGTGAGGACTTAAGGTTCAACTAGGTACTGGGCTAGGTACTGGGAATACAAATACAAAACTGAAAATAAGTCCCTGTGCTCAAGGAGGTTACATTCTGACAGAGCCAGCAGCATGAATATTTGTACTTATGTACAAATATATGTACAAAGCACATACAAAATAGATAAAGTAACTCAAGTTGCAAAACTGAATGATTGAAAGAATGGCAGTACCCTTGACAAAAACAGGGAGGTTCAACAGAGGGTTGGGTTTGGGGGAAAAGCTTCAGTTCTTCAATACTTCAAAGACCTGTGATTATTTTCAGTGTGAATATTCCCTTAGCAAAGGCATATCACAAACCCTCTATGACTTGATGGTCTTTGAGAGTTATTGAAGCCGAAAATTCCATTAGCCCTATGCCTAACCTCACTTCACTGTACAACTCAGCTGAGCTTGAACAATAGATATACAGGCCTCTGTGGGCCTGTATTCCAATTTTTTCTACCTTGATAAAACTTATTAGAGCTTGTGGTCCAGTGGCATAGACTTAAGAGCCCAGAGTTCTTTCCATCCTACATTAAAACATCAGGGTAGGATTTTATGACATTTGACACAGATAATAATAAAATACAATATGTGCTAAGTCAGAAAGTTGCAAAACAAAATCTCTTGTGAGAAGGAAAAATGGTATTGACAGGTGGCCAAGGAAGGTTTCATGGAGGAGACAGTGTTTGAATTGGATTTTAAAAGATGAATAGGAATCCAACAAGCAAAGAGGGGGAAAACAGATGTTATAATTAAAGGAAGTATAAGCATAAACAAAAGCACAAAGACATATTCAGTGGACATTGTATACTAGTACAGCAGTGAGTACAGCATAACATGTGTAACACGTATCAAAATTAGCTAAGGTTGAAAAAGTAATGTAATTCCAAACCATAGAAGCAATAGGGAGTCACTGAAGATTTTTGACCTAAAGTATAACATGGCTCTATGCCTAAGATAATTGGATTTTAGTGTAATATGAAAGATGTATTGGGGTGGAAGGAAACACAGCTCTAAGTATTAAATATTACATTGACATGGTCTGTCATGTGAAAAACATATCCTACCTCATCATGGGGATATAGGTGGGAGTTGAGGAAGAACATCCCCCAGTCTTCAGATTTGCCAAGGAAGCCAAGTATCCAGTATATCTCCATTTCTGTGGTCTCTTTTTCCAGAAAACCTGAGTAAGTTTGAGCTCAACAACAGATAAAACACTACTGAAAAGAAGCATGAACCAGAAGTATCTGGGGCATACCATTACAGTACTCACTATAATTGGGCAGGTTTTTTTTGAAGTAGGCCAAATGTACCTCTCAGATATTTCCACTCATCTACAAGTGACTCACTGAGATTTGCAAAAAATGAATGCTTTTGGGTACCTTAGGCATAATTTGTCACATTAATAGTTTCCTCTTATCCCCCCCCACTGCTCTCCAAATATCTTCTTTGTTTCCAAGTGAGGATAATATTTTAATTTGCACCCTATCTTCCAAAGAAAATGATTCTTTTCATTTGTACTCTTGACCTTCCTCAGAAATAGTGAAAAGGTAAATTTTATTCATATATGAAATTCTGTGGTCAAAATTAAAGAGAGTATTCCTTTCTTTTTGCCATAGCAAAATATTACATGCAAAGTGGAATATAGCTGCATCCAGAGTTTTCATATTTTTCATTATACAATAGATTTTATGATAATGGACCAGAGCTATAAAAGGTGAGCTTGGAATTTCATGCATTGAAGTATAAGAGCTCTTCTGCTTCCTCTCTCTCTCCTTTCTCTCTCTCCCTCTCTCTCTCTCTCTCTCTCTCTCTCTCTCTCTCTCTCTCTCTCTCTCTCTCTCTCTCTCTCTCTCTCTCTCACAAAACCATAGTACCCAAAGAAGGTATAGCAAAGAACGAGAATGAGTTGTCATTCTTACTAAAACAGCTTATTATATGATTGGAAAAAAGTTGGGGACTGTATTATAAATAAACAAAACAAATTTATATCTTGGAGTTAAGGTGTAAACACACTTCACTGTTGAGCAGCAGTAATTTTAAATATAGTATAAGAGCAAACTGGAATTAGGAGTATGTTTATGTAAATAACAAAAACCGTCTGAGAATATACTGAGAAAGTTGGGGTTTTTCCCCCCAGTAGTTAATTCAAGGGGAAGTCAACTTCATATTTATCAGATTCCATAATTCTCAGTGCCTAAGACTTTCTAATAATAAATTTGGGATTTAGGGAAGGATATTAACTCTTTGAAAGCCTTATGATACCATTGAGAGTGATCAGCTATGAAGACAACATGGAGGAAAGGGGAGTGCACTTGAGTGAGGAGATCTGGGTTTGAGAAACATGATCTACCAATTACTAGCCATGTGGGATTGAACAAATGTACTTTCTGAGTTTCAATCTCTTCATCTTTAAATTCAGAATTTGTGCTACCCACTAATCATAGGATTATGATAAAGCATTTTGAAATATATATAAATATGTGTGTGTGTG